AAAATATAAGCGTTATGAATGAAAACGTAGTTTTCGGTAAATAGGGGAATATATTAATTTTTACTGAGAACGGAATTAAAAGTTGGCACACAGATATACCGGTCGGTTGCCACTATCACCCGTTAATTATAGTGATCCAGTCTTGATCTCTATTATATAGGTGGTCGTGCAATGGTAGCCTCTGTAATTGGCGGCGTTCGGGCCGTCCATTAAATTCCAGGCATCCAGTTCCTCTCCGGGTACCGGGAACATGTTCCGATCCCGATCTGGATTATCTCGATGGGATAAGGGGCTGATGTTAAACAGATAGAAGGCCGATAGAGGGTTCGTGGCGGATTTCTTCGCACCGCTGTCGTGTATTGCGCGTGATTGTTAGCAAAACGAGATTAACACCGAAGTCGGGGACGAGATTTCAGGATTTCTTTTTAAGTGGCTTTGAAAAATTGTTTGCGGTTCTCGAGACTACCCTTAATCCTGAAGACCAATTTTAAAAGAAGGACCTTCTTAAAGAAGGTTTTGGTTTCTCCGCGTTTGTACACACGGTTTTATGGTCACGTCCTGCAAGGTGGCGACCGAATAAACGATAGTGTAAATTTAACGTGGTCGCATGCGACAAACAAATGAACACCGCCGGGTAAATAATTATTCCCGGGCAAAATGGAGTGCTTGCACCGGCCTGGACAGTAGCAGCGGCCATTTGTGCGTGGCCAACTCATAAACGTGGCCCCGGCTGTGTGCGTTGCTGCGTTTACGCTGCTCGTTCCTGCGACAGATGTTCGGATCTTCTCTTATGCAAAACTCGACATCGAACTCATTTACACCGTCAGGTAGTTAAGCTGCTTTTAAGGAATGTTGCGTTTCATTATACCGATTCTTGAAATTCATACTTTATAGCGTATCAAAACGCTTCTTAAGGAGGCAATACGCTTTATATTTTAATCACGTATATAATTATTTTCGATCATCCTTCAAAGAATAGTTATAGACTCTTATGCCCAGAATTGAAAAACAATTGAAACAATTGCATGGAAAATTGAGAAAGATGAAAGCTCGCTCTTTTGTGCACATTTCCAATTCCACGTTTTTAATAGATTTCATTTTATCTCGTTCAATCAGCTTTGTTTGCGAAACTCTTCATGCGATATTTTTCTCGTATTTATCAAACGAGAATTTTCAATTAGGTATCTGTCAAGCGAACACAACTGTTCCATTCAAGAATGATTGAAACCTCGGTCTAAAAAAATTCTATTCTATACAGGTACGGAATATGTACTGTTTCCTCCGTTTTTATGGACGTTCGTCAAAAAGATACGTTGTACGTATCAAGTACAACAGGGAAAATTAAAAAATTCCTCAATTGTAACGGTTGCATGTTCGTCAATAAAAAACGAAAAACTGTCAGCTGCAAACTTCTGTACGGCAGCAGCTATCTCTGTTTAAAGTAAAAATTCCCAATTTTCCCATCCAAACAAAGGGAGCCGCAAAGAGAGGAACACGCATGGGAGGGCAACGGCTATACGGCACACGCGCCAGGAAAACAGTGCTCAGTGGAAGAACAGAGGGACGTCTGTTTCGTTGCGCAACGAATCGCTCGACGCGCACCGATCCGAACGCGTACCGCGTCTCGCGATTAACCGCGTTATCCTTATTTGCATGCGGCATTTGCAAGCGCCGATGATGGCAAGACACGTGTGGCAAATTATTAACATTCCATTGGAAAAGTCATTGATCAATATCAAGCTGTACATTTATAATGAAAACAAACGTGAGGCTGTATTTGGAGTTTATCTGTCAGGGTATATATTTTTACAATTAATTAATTGAGCATTCATTTTTTGTCCATCGTGGTATACTTTTTTTTTTAATAAAGCATCGCATTTTATTGACATGACACGTATTTTTATGAAATATTATGATGGATTTGTACGTAGAGCCGGTGTACAGTATTGGATTTTGATTATAAAACGTCAAAAGAGAATTGACGTATTTTGTGGTGCTCAAATTTATGAAATGATTCGGGGAGTTTGCAAGTGGGACAGAGCGAGAGGGGAGGACGCGTGAAACGTTACCTGGGAGTTATACCGGGTTATATACAGGGTTAACTGGTAAAGTGGTTATAATGCGTCAGTGCGTCATGCACCGGCCTTGGTGCAATGCACATGACGCATGGATGCACCGTGCGCGAAAACTTTTCCGCGGTTGATTGTTCCCAGCTTCCATCCAGCCTGGACGCGCGCGTTCTCTACGTTCGTTACAACTATATAAATTAATCGCTTCACCTCACTTTCGTTTCAGTTTTTACACACCGCCGTTATTTTAATTTCAAGCTCATTTGATTGAATTAAAAAATAAAAAGCCGATGGAAAAAACGAATTGTGTGACTGAGGGAGAAAACGGAAATATTAATTTAATTACAGATTTAATGCCACTATGATTTCCTCTGTGAGTCCCGCAGATAGGGACGGAAACGCCGCGTGCGCGTGCAACGATACACCGGCAAACATTATCTTGCGTCGCAGGTCCTCCGTATTACAGAAATAATCGCACGCTAATTAGACTGTCACGTGTCGAAGGTACGGAAGGTCGGGAGCCGACGTTTAATCGAATTAGTAAGCCACTCGAGCATGGCGGAGGGTGCTCAAATAGAAACCCGCCCCGAGCGTGGATGGTGTTTCGATCTGTTTTGTCTCTGCTTTGTCCCGGACCCTCCCCATACGTTCCGGCTGCGGTAATCAATCTTGTCTTCCCTTCGACTTCGACCTCGTTCAATCTCTCCTCTTCTCTCACTCTAACTCTCCGCGTATATTTCTTCCTTTTCGTTTTTTATCTGTCTCTCGATATTTTTTAATCGACCATCGCTGGTTGACCGACGCTTGTCCCCCGACAGAACGCGTCTCCTATTTGGTGACAGGAAAATTTTCGTCGAAATGCATGGAAATCTGTCGAGGGAAGAGTACCTCTGAATTATTTTTCTATTTACTTTTTTCCTCTAGCACACCTCTAATCATTTCACACACACTATATTAGCTAATAAAATTAATCGGGATTAATTTTAGTCGAATCCTTCATCAGATATTTTATCCAGCATAGCAGAAATGATTTTCCATTTGAAGGCTTAATTTTAATTAATACAATTTTTCTTTCCACACGCCATTAGCGCTAATTGACGCATAGAATTTTTTCCTCAGCGACGCCCAGGCGATTTTCTCGATCCATTTAGATCAGGATCGCCCGGCTCGCGGCTCGCGTGACGATTTTCCACGCGATACGGCGATGACACGCGGCCGAATGATAAACGCGCCTCGGCGAAATCTAGAGCGGCTCTTTTCAATCGCGTTTCGCTCCGCGCGACGACGACGACGCTCCGCGCGATCTAGGTCAGCCGTGCGACCTAACTTGCACCCGTGTGTACGTGTACGTTACCACTATGTAGCGACACATACGTGTATGCGTGTCCGCGACGAATAATACGAGAGCGGAGCGCGTTTCGATCGGCGCGGCTCCGTTCTATGCCGGTCAGGTGTGCCGCGACGATCGTAAATCGATCCGGTTAAATTCGATTCAATACGATGTTCAAAAATGAACATACAATTATATTTATAAAATAAGTGTCAATGTTATATGTTCGAAAATGTAGTTTCAGTCGTTTTTTATTAACACCAACGGAACTGTAGTAACCATCATAATAATTGCAGAAAGAAATTAAGAAGGCGTATTACGATCAATCGTCTAATTACATAAATGTAATGGGTATATGTATGAATAGGTAAGGTAAGCAGATCTGGGAGCAAATCTCCCGTAGCATAATACACACAGGCTGGGAAGTTCCAGTCGTTTGCCAGACGAGTGTATCCGGCACGAACGTGCGCATAAGTGCACGCCGGAATGCCCAATGTAGCGGCGGTGCATACTTAGCGGTGCATACGTGCCTCACACGGATGCTCGTGCACGCGCCTCCACACGCGTACCCTCGAGTTCGACGCGGCTCACGCAACTCAGTGCACGTACACACAATGCGTACGCACACCATTGTTCGAAAGTATGCGCGCATTTGTTATTGCTCGCTTCATTAAAGTTTTTTTTTTTTCATTTCTACCTAAAGTTACAGTTTTAATAATTTGCTTGTGAGAAATTTTATATTCAACTATAAAGTCGATAATGAATTGTGTCAAGTATTTCCGAAATATCGTACTCTGTATTTATCAATTACGTCAGTATGCATTTCGGCTTGTTATGGCATTTTGTTTATTACTTTTTTGTAACCTACATATGTAAGTACAGGCTACATTACTTATGAACGTGCAGGAATACGCGGTTCGTTCATGAGCAAATTATAGTATACATAAGTACATGCGTGCACTCTCGACGCAACGAGAGCCGAGGTGCGCGACTGAGAAGGGGAGAATAGACAGAAGCAGGATTCACACTGGTGTGTGCAGGCATGTGCAGGCGCAAGGTCGCGCCGGGGTTGGGAATTCGGATTGCCAAGGGTTCCCACCCCTTCGTATTGCACCAGAATTCTGACACTACTACCTGAACCCGACCGACTATTGCCGCGTTCAACACGGACGAGGAAACAGAAACAGAGTGGGAGGTTGGCAGAGAGAGACAGAGAGAGAGAGAAAGAGAGGGCATGAGAGAGACGAGGGGGACACTACGTCTCGTTTCGGAGCGTATCCTTCGGGAATAGCTATATCGGGTGTGCCTACAGGATATCCTGGTGTTCGTCAGGAAAACCTGTTTGACAGTATGCAGTCGGATGCGTCGTAGTTTCAGACAGTGTTCTACGTACGTAACCAGAATTTAGGAATAAAGAAGGGACGCACGGTACGAAGTGCATTCTGTACGCAAATGTAAACCTTCTTGTAAATGAATTTGTAAATTGAAGAAGGTCTTTCATTTATACATTGCAAAGTAATTTCTGATAATATGTATACTACAATGATTTGATTGTCCAGCAAATTGGTATTCACAGCTGTTGTCCTCAAATCTTCTTCCAGATGGACTGGCCCCTGACTGTGAAATGGATCGAAGATTAGAGGATCGCGAGGAATGAGTGTTAGAAATCATTTCTCAAGGATCACCCGGTATACGCGCAGGCCGATCTGTCCGCGTAATATTATAGTCCGGTGAGCAGTAATCTGGGTTACGCCCTCCCCTCGATTCATAAGAACCACGTATTAAAGTGGGAGAGAGCGTAATTTCTCTCGTACGCTTTTCTCTGTCCCTCTCTCACCCCTTCCTTTCCGCTCCCCTCCCTGTCAACTTCCACTCTTTCTCCTGCTTTCTCCAGAGACTCACCTTCCCTTTGGTTCCCGCACTTTGTTTCTAGTTTTTTCATCCTTCCACTCTTTTTACATTTTTTTTGCAACCATCCCTTCAAGTCTTTTGCCTTCTACTACGTATTTTAGTTCTTTGTAAGTCTTTTATCCTTCCGCCAATTTAATAGTCTTGTTCCACTCTTTTGTGTTCTGTATCACGATTTTGTCGCAATTAACTCTTTATGGTTAATACGACTGTTGAATAAGACTGTACAGTTGAGGAAGTGGTACGCCATAAAGGTTCTGTGTTTCCTAATAAAATATATGAAAGATGTAAGGAGGCCGAAACTTGTTGCATACTTTTGTCGTGACCATCAAATAAAAATCGTGTAGAAACAATTTCTTCAAGGAATCTGTCTTTCTCTTCCCCCAAGTGGCAGCATTCTATCAGAGCATTGGGCAGTTGTTTTTGCGTCTACTTCCCCGGAAGGTGAATGTTTTATTCTATCTTCTACCTACTACGGGTCTACTCCACTTTTTTCCCTTCTTCCTCTTCTTCTCCTCTTTCTTCTTCCAGCCGCGTTCCACTTTCCCGTGTTAATTCTGGATTTACGAGCGGCCGTCCGCGCCGCGGCAAATATTTGCGAATATCCCCGGCTCCATTACTCCGTTGCACTATCAACGACGGCAAGGAATTCCCGATTTTCAGATAAAAACATCAAAATTTAGCTTCTACGAGAAACTTGAAATCATGCCAAAATGTTAAAACGTCAAAATGGACTAGACACAATTCCTTTATGTATAATCTTTGAAACTTAAATATTACTCACTTTGAAACTTCAATATTACTCATTTAAAATATCCTCAAAAGTCCTCGATGCCATAAAATCATTTAGGCTGCAATAAAATTCGGATCAGGATAATTTCTACCTTTCCATTCTATCATTCATGGGTATATAGTCCTGTCTGTTCTTTTTATTTCCAGGGATGGGAACGGGACCGAGCAGTGAAATTTATTGAATAAATGAAGGTCAAGCGGCAAAAGAGAGGCCGGGATTCTGTCGTGACGCAGAAAAATCAAATTAAACAGCCGCTTTTAAGTTGAATTAAAACGAATGCGCTTAATTAAAGCGGCCTCCGCCGCTCAACTAACTAAAGGAGTTTTATTGACGGCGACCGACTCTCCTTTGTCGGTCCCACCGTGTACCCTTTCATTATTACGTTAAAAGATGCCCTCGCCTTTTTGGTTTTGTCGCAAATAACCCGCGATTTTTCTCGACGTTAAGGGTTGTCCCATTTCTTACGGTTTTTCACCAGATCCCTTCTCCGCAGCTCAATTTCACAGTTTTGAAGCTTTTCCTGAACTTTACTGTAACTGGCACGATTATTTATTGCGAGAGACTCAAAAGTGAAAGGTAAGAACTTACATTAGAATAAGTATAGAATCGTGAAGCATCGAAACAAAGTAAAGTGATCGACGCTCTTCAGGTGTCAGTAGAAGTGAAGTGTCGATATTTTGGTGTTGAAAAGAGCAATGCTCACTTTTCCTAAGAGCTAATCTAATTCCTGTACAGGCTTGGAAAGTGAGCCAGGAATGGCGCCAGGATTAAACCGATCAATCCGTGTAACGAGTTTACGATCCGACGTTTATCGGTCAGAAAAACGAGCATGCCCGTGACAAAAGGAGTCATAACGGAACCCGCGTTCGCCAGGCCGAGCAACGACGAGCGCGTTAACGGTGTTCGAGGTTTCACCGCGCTAAATACACACCCGACACGTTTTCGCCTCTCACTCTCGTCGCGTTAACGTCGATCCTCTTTTGTACGCTCTCCTCTCCTTCACGCCGCTCCTCTCCACGCCCGAGAGGCACATCAATCGCGATGAAAGGAGAGGGACCGCGCGATTCAGCGAAAACCGAAAAAGGATCGACGGGAACGAGAGAAGGACGGACGGATTAGATGGGGAAGCTTCCCCCTGTTCACTGTGGGAATTTCTAATTGCACGCCAATGTCCTGGTTACGGTTAGGGGATTTTTCTCTGGGGGATGCCGGGAACCGATTGTCTATTAGGACACCGTGGATTATTCAGGAATCGCAATTTCTCTTTTGCCACATGGGCCGCTATAGGATCTCTTATTGCATTTCAAACTGTTGATTTTATTTAGGACAGAACCGTACCAAATCCTATTTTATAGAATTGACAATTCGCGTTCGAACTATTCAACTGCGACCATTCTGTTCATCTCTCGTTGCAAATTGACTATTCTGTCATTCTCTCGGAGCAGCATACACTCTTCTAGTATTAAACGGTCATTAATTATTCTCCATCCCTTTTATCCACCGCCGCGATCCTAACAGTCGCAAGCGAGACGGTACAAGCCGAATCCGTTCGTCGATGGTGATCAAGAGGAGGACGAAACTCGCCGGGCCGGTGCCAGCTGATTTAACTCCGTCCCGCCGGGGAACAATGAGACGGCTACGTCGAAAACCGTGGTTATTTAATACAGATATTTTTCATAAGTCGCATTGTGTGCAAATAAACAGGCGAGGAGCAAGTACCTATACATAAGTGCGCGAGGAAACGGTCTTCCGATGCGCGTTCACGCGACTGGCTAAGCTCCTCTCCTCTGCCGTTCGTAATTCGCAACGCGCGCGGCGTACACGCCGCGAGGCGCGCCGCGTGTTAATAAATCTCGTGAGATCTTCTGGCCTGCGCGGTGAGAAAGAGAGAGAGAGAGAGAGAGAGAGAGAGATAGAGTGAGAAGGAGGGTGGGAGGAAGAAGAGAAAGGACGACGACGCGGCGAGAAAACGAGCAAAGAGGAAAACACGGAGGAGAAAGAAACGAGCGGACGGACCTCGCCGCACACGAAGGGCGCGCGAAATTTCTTCTGCTTCGTCTTCCGTATATACTCTTCGGTTAAACCGAGTTTCGAATTTCCTTGTTTACCTAAATCGACACAAGCATTCTTCTACAGCAAACAAAAAGAGTACAGGGAAATTATTAGAAGTAATAGTAGCATCTCTTGTCAAATTGGTGTACAAGTCAGAGTGATCGATTTCCAACTTTGTAGAAAAATTGTATCGTTATTTTATAGAAGCTCTTTATTTATAAATTCACTTAGTAAACAAATTGACTATTATCTACGTTTAATTGTAAAAATAATACGTTGTTCAAGGAGCGGTCATTTTGACCGGAAGGAGAAAAGTGCCGGTAGGTTTAGTGTTAAAAATCATCATAAATACGATGAGCTATGAGTCGCTTCTTTACAAAAATTGTTTTATGATCGGTGTGCGTGACAATTTAAAGGAAACGGGTATCTATGCTTTTTTCCGCGTGAGAACACGTGAGGAACGATTGTCTTTAAACCCGTCCCGGGATGATTCGCAGATTCCTGGGTGAGTGACATGTGTCACAAGGTGTGTCGAACCCTTATTTAGCGTTGCATCAAAAGCTAGCCCACTTCCAGTCACACGCATGTACGTCTACAGACACACATACGTAATCTGTAGTAGTCTGGCCCCCCTCATTGTCAGTCTTTCTAATACGGACCGCGCGTACGATCGAATTTACTTTTTTTTTCTCTCTCTCCTTTCTCTCTACTCTCCGAGTTTTTTTTATATACGTTCTTCCTCTTCTTTGACGTACAGAAGAGGGAACGGAGAGGATTCCCGGACACAATGCGACGTAATTGGAAGTCACCGGATGCTGAGAATTGGCCGTTTCCCATGATTCGTGAATTTATAGGTGCTCGAGACCCGCTGCGCTACGATCCGCTCTACTGTTTTAAATTTTCGAACAGTTTCCATTTCCAATGAACGTGACTGTGGCGAACCTCACGCAGCATTGGTAAAACAATTGTTTTGTTATATTTTATTTGATCATAGATTTATAGAGATATTACATCTCTATAAAATAGATAAATAAATAGAAAGGTAGCATAAGTCTATGGATTTGGCTCATTCATATTTGATGTAATCTCGTGTTGTAAATTTCTATACATATTACACTTAGCATATCAGGGATTATCTTGTTCTCCAAGAGATCAAATTGTGCATTGTGTGACATGTACGCATCATAAAACATGTAGAAATAATAATAAATATTGATGAGACTGGAATTTATAAAATTTACTATTCTTCCAAATTTAAAAATTTTTTGCAAACCACGTTTTTTCGTCTGTACAACGTTAAGTGGAACACGCGATTTAACTCGTTTGCATCGATACAAATTGGCTACACGATACGATCGTCACGGTTGAAGGCGCCTTGGCTTTCCCTCCCGAACTCGAAATAGCGTCGATCAGCGTTCGAACGGTAGCGCGGTAGCAGTGATCGTGAATAGCGATGCCAGCAACCCTCGGGACACCCTCGACAAATAAGTACAAACGGTGCAAAGTGCCCGCCCCGTTTCCACCGTTTATTGGTTCCCGTTTGACCGAGACCGCCAACGAAAAACGAGACGTGAGGATCCTTTTTTATCGATTTGCAAATTATCTCGACCATTGTTCATTTATAATGTCTTCTCTAAATACAGAATTACTTTATTCTTACTTTTCTACTTCGTAGATCAATTCGTTTACGTCTAATCATATTTCATGCGAATTCATGCATGGATGTGTTTTATAAAATTGTTTACTTACAAATACATATTGGCGAAATCCGTCAGATTTACTTGAATGTACTTCAGAGGAAGCTGTAACAATAAAGAAAAAAAATTTCAGATAAAAATTGAAAACCAGAAACGTTTGATTACTAAAGACAATTCTTATTCAAATCGAATCAATACGAAATGAACAATACTGATCATAATCACATTGGAATAAAGTACACCCCATTTAGAATGCTTATTATACTTTGTACCAGATCCCGAGCTAATTTCGCTAAAGAAATATTGCAAGAATCCGGGGGCTGTTACTGGCACTGAACGAGAAGCACCTCTTCAAGCGACACAGTGTCATAAATCCCTGAAGCCCTCGCGAAACCCTCGATGGCGACAAATAAACACCCGTAAAACGGGACCCTTCGGTTGTTATACAAATATAAAAGGGCTTGAAACACGATTTATCAAGGGAAACTATCATTAGCTTCGTCGTTTCCCCTCAAGGAAATTGTCTTCTAAAATGCAAGCAACGTTCGAAAGCAATCTTGAAACCAGCATGAAGTAAAATGATGGTTACAGCAATTGATACTGACGATTAAAATGGTAATTAATAGTTTTGAAATAATTTATCGATCTTTTCAAATAATTAGACGAAAAGCAGTTTTGGCATGAATCGATTTTATGGAAATCGATGTAGAAAACTTGTATCGGTCAGCAATTTCACAAAGAAGCTTGCGGACTTGCAAAGGTTCGGTGCATTGTTGGGCTTTCCCGTGTCAAGCATTAAACCACGATCGTGCTTATCTCGTGTCTTAACATACTCGAGAGAGAGTAACAACGTAGCCATGTCTTCTAGTGTTTTATCATTTAAGTTTACACACTCCCTGAACTTTATGCAAATCCTGGCTGCTCATATTTTGCCCAGTAGAATTTCCTAATGAAAACTTAAAAGTGTTACCTTTACGGTATCACTTTGAATCAGTTTTTGCACGAATTCTCTGTAGCGTTTACAATTTAATTTCCGATATCTGCTAGCATTTATTAATGTCAAATATGAAACAACTCATGAATAACAGAATTGAAAACTGCGAATTCCTGGAATTATTCACAACGATCGGAGGTATTAACTTTTTACTAACTTGACGTTATCATTGAATGCCGAAGCGTCGTAAAAGCCGCGCGGAGAACGGAACTCGGGCCACGTGAGCCATTATTTCGCTCGAATCGCCGCTTCGCGTCTCAGCGTTATTGCGTTTCGCTTCGCGCGTGTCGCGAGGGTATCGTGGCGTGGGTCACCCGGTAGGTGCTCGTTCTCATGTCGATACTGTTATCGGCTACTAAAAGATAATCAGCAGAGTCGGAGTCGAGCCGAGTGGGCGTGCGACTGGCTGCATCGTCGCAGAATTTATTCAGCTGTCTTCCACCGACTATTGTACAAACTTCAGACTTCCAGACTTGGCAATTATTACTGAGTTATTCTCAACGCATCACGTCGTTTTTAATACATAATACTATTTCTTTTAAATAATATCTTATACTTTTCTGTGCCCTGTTCAATTTTCCAAGAGAATTTAGAAACAGCCTCTTGTTTTACAAGTAATAGTAGTAATCGTTCATTTCGGCCTTGAAAGAGGTGTTACATTCGGTGATAAAATATAACAATTATCTCTATATGATGTTATGATATTTGATGTCTATAGTCGTTTTTGGTTTACATATCACTTTTCTCTTTTTTTGTCCTCCAGAGGATGCATCCTCTCTTAGTTGACAAATCTCTCCCATCCATTCCAAAATATGTCCTCTTGTTTTATACTAGGGATAGATCCAATCATTTCTGTCATTTCTACTCTCTGGTCAGCTCATCAAACTCCTTGTGAAATCTTATACGAAGTGTTATGTTAAGTAATGTCCAATACGAATTTTTCATAAATTGTATTATTCACTGTTTAATTATTCTCCGAGGCGTGAAAATTCGCCTCCAGGCGAGAGAGAAACCGAGCGGCAGCGTCCCGTCGTTTTACGTAACCGTGATTAAGCGCGTCCTTGCGAATGTTAGTATATGTATACTGTTCGGCTCGTCACGCGACACGCGCCATTGCTTTCAAGAATTTTTCAGCTCGCGTTCCGCGGCTCGGCGTGGCGCGCGGCAGCGTGAAATAACCGGTTCCGACGCAGCTCGCCTCGAAAGTCGGACCCGAACCAGTGAAATATATCGCCGATTCGAGATTCCTTCCTTCCCACGCCTACGGATATTCATTTCCTCCCCACCCCCTCGTTACTCGCTTTATTACATCGGCCGATTCTTCCGCCCGCTGTGACCTTTTTTTATTGCCCTACCGTTTATTTCTCCTGAGAAGTTTCTGTCACACTTCACGTTTTAATTACACCTTCTTCATAGATCGTTATATAATTAAGTAAATAGAGAATCTTTGATTAATAGTGTAAAACAAGGGTATTCGTAAATTTATGCAGAAATCTCGGCCGCATTCCGTCAACATGGCGACTGTGGAACGTGACCTAGCGAATCTATACTATATGCAAACCGTAGTTTCCATTACTACCATTCATTTAAATTCTCCGTTTCGTGTCGCGATTATCTCCATTCTCTTTCGAAAAACAACTTAACTAATTAATAGTACTGATAACAAGCTATCAAAATTAATATATGTATTTATAATGTATGTACATTTCTTTTCATTTCTTATCAATTCTACCTTGGTCGTTTTTCTTCTAATGTATGAAACATTCTGAAACTCTTTATTTGAAGATTCTCTGTTTACTTGATATGGATAATAAAAAGGACTTTACAGATTTCAAAAGAAGGAATACATTATACTCTGGCAGCGGGCCAGGAAAATCTGCCTTTTGCCATGCGACCATACATCGTGATATCCCGAAACCTCTATTAAAATCCTCCATACACTCTAATTAAAATTCTCTTATTAAAATCTGCTAGTTCCTATATTAATATAATACATTTTACTATCATGTGATTTTACCGGAAAATTAACATTCACCTCGTCTTATCCAACGATTCAGATATTTGAATTAATACATTTCTTCTTATTCTTTCATGTGCAGGACATTCTATATAAACATTATTTATCACGTGTAATAATAACGACGAAAATCAAGATGCTAATATCTGGTGAAACAACCTGTATATTAGAACATAATGTCGATAAAAAGCTTCAATTCCCAATAATTTCTGACCAGTGCAGTTGTCAGTTTGGCCAAGAAAGTTCGTAACAAGTTTGATTTGTCATTTCAATTCCAGCGGTTAATGAGGCAATATTTTAAGAAAATTCAGAATGGAAGGTTAGATGTTTCAAGTAAGAAGGCCGGGTACTCCATTTGTGTAACTGCGCACAGCCAAGATGCGTACTTGTTAGACCTGTGCCTGGTTCGAACGACTTGACGCGGTTAAAAAGGTAGATTTTTATGACTAGGCACGCACTGAAGATGATGCGCGGTTCGTCCTTGCCAGGCGCACTGGCGAAGCCGTACACGCGAATACTCGCGCGAATTTTTCCCAATTCCCAAAGAAGAGTACTTCTTTTACATATTTTAATGATTTCATGTGCAACATAAGCTAATGGGGATATATGTGGAAAGTGTCTTCTTTCATTTCTTTATCGAAGAACATAATTTTATAAATTATTTTAGTCTAGTTAAACAATAACATACATAATGATTCATTATTTATAGATTTATCTTTATGGAAATAAGTAAATACGTTGATAGGAAATACATATATTTCACTTTCAACTACAATTATATTCACTACAACGCTGCGTATGCTATATTTTTTAAATGCGAAATATTTAATTTACGAACTGGACATTATTGTTCACATTATTATTTTTATGGATGTACCCGAAAATACGAGTATTTTAGCCTCGGGTCGGGAGTTCAATGGAGACGAATTCGCTCGTCTCCGAAATGCGAACGTCGCGGCGATGCCCTTCATATCTCAAGTATCCCATGTTTTTCACATTACCTCGGAGATAATTACGAGGGACTAGTACTCGAAACTGCACGTTCAGGCCCCAGAAGTATTGTTACAGATGGTCCACTAGAGGAAAGCATATTTCCTTTCCTCGTTCTTCTTTTACTTTTCTCATTTTGACGGTGCACCAGGTCCTTCGGTGCGCGGAAGATCATAAAAATGACCCTTTCAAGTGGATTTACGTGGGTGCGCGCCGTTGCACAAGTGAGTACACGGTCTAAAGACACGGCTACAGTCGCAGTGTGTCTTGTCTCTCTGAACAGTAAGAGAAGACCTGAACGAGGGGAACAACAGGAAGAGTGGCTAATCCCATCCGGTGGAGGATGACTACCGGTACGAGCAGCCGCGCCTACTGGCCCTTTTATCGCTCGACCTTCTCTCTGCCGCCGGTCAGACTCAGGCTCGACCGACCACAATATGGTGACCGGACCTCACCGACGCCAGCAAGCATTGATTTCACGCGTGGGCCAGAACGTCTGGATATCGATCGTGTCCCCTGTTATATTTCTCGTCTTCACTTCGATCCGTTCCACACAGTGAACAAGTTGCCCCAAAATCACTGTTCGTATTTTCATCGACACTGTTCTAATACAATTTTTTCCAATTCTTTTAATCGGTCAATAGACTCAATGGTTTGTTTCTCTAGGCTGTTACAAATTTAATATTCAGGAATTATATTAGAATTTTAATTGGATCGAGAATTATTCTCTTACCAGGTCATCTCCTCACTGTAGCAAATTCTTCGCCTTTCGAAAATAATTGGTATGCCAGAAGGATTTATATACGAAGACGAAGTATCACATCGCTGTAATCAGTTGTTGCGCATCGAATTCTAAGCGAAGTAACGTAGAAAAGAGAACCATGAACCTCACACGTGGATTCCGTAAATTCGCGTTTTATCGGGTATCGTACGACTGCGGAAAAACCAGCTCGACGAGTGGGGAGACTCGCGTACGTTCGTCCTATCGGCTCCCACAAATCGCCGGCCGCGTCGTTCAATTGATAAAAACAGGAACGTTCACCAGGGGCTGGTTTATTAAGATCGCGGGACGATATTTACGGGGTTGACCAAGGCTGCGGTAGA